CAATAAAGATATAATTTTTTCTACAGTGAAATATTGTTTAAAGAAAATAGACAATATTAAAAATAGTTATGTGGAACGAAAAAATGTATAATGTTCAATATAATAATATGCAGTAATAGAATATTCAAACTATAGAAACTACCTAAAAACCGTAAGTATAAGGTTAGAAATAAACAACAGCTGCAGTGCAGTACGCACTTATTCTAGTATATTTACAATATCTATAGGTATATTATTATTATTATAAAAGCGTCATGTGCTCAGCGTCGGATCCTGTGCTTGTAATGTAAAATGTACCTATGAACATATAGGTAAATATATAATAGTATACAATTATAGCCGATGATGTTGACATAGCTCGAGAAAAATCGACGAAAAATCGAATAAAAAAAATGCAACGTCTGCAGATAGGTATGATAAATGGCCGAAACAATAGAAACGTAGGTAGGTACCTATTTATAATATTTATATATTTATATACGCGTTACACGAGTATAATATTATATGCACATACCTATATATTAATATATTATAGACATTAGACATCTATTTATAGGTATATAGTATACGCCATATTATAAAAGTAGCAGTATATACTATATACGTATATAATATATGTAAGATACGCGTGATACTGACCCTCGCGTGCGACTAAAGGTCGTATATATATATATATATACATATATTATTTTGATAGAAGTATAATATATACGTGTGTTAGCGCGAGCGTATACTTACGCCTATGTATATAATATATATTATGTATGTATATGTATTATATTATTATATTATGATATAGTTCGAGGGCACGGCGTGTTACCTGGTATTCAACGCTTACCTATATGTATATATACATATCTACTGTATAGGCCGTATATTATTATGTTGTGTATGTGTACGAAAAGGGTTTCCGGACGCGACCGCTTGTAATAATGCTACAAGAACAATCGTTAATAACCCGCCGAGTGCACGGGAGCTCGACGAGCGCATTTGCATAATCATGTTTCAGGCGTTTGTAGAATAAATGAGTTACACGGGTTGCCGCCGCATATTTCGTATCATGCATATTGTATACCTATACAATAATAATGGCCGTGTAAGTTTACATTATAATATTGTTATAAGTACCTATGCGATTGTTATTATATCATTCTGTAGTCTGTGAATACGTATATACACACATGCACATATTATATTGTGCGCGGGTGTGTGATATACACGCGCATTTTGAATATTTGATCAAATTATAATATAGATCATATATAGGTATAATGATATTATTATATTATGTATATGTATGCATGATTCATATTATAATATGAATATGCGCGACGAAAATAATATTTTATGCTCACGAGCGTTGCGACTACGAGTATTGTGTTACGCTGTCACCTGTATCATATTATACTAGAGCAATAAAGCTCGATGACAAAGGTGGCAGCAACAAGCATTACAACTATCAAAAAGCTACGGGTAAAATCGAGACACTCGTTGGGTTCTACGTGGATTTAAATTTTGAATTCTTTAATGAAAATAATTATTTATCAATAATGGATAAATGCACATGTGTTCAAATTTCAATCGTGAATGTCAATAATTGATATTTTGAATGATAAAGTCTATATTATCAAAAATTTCTCGGGTTATATAGGCTAGAGACACGACGGTGAATTATTTAAATCTTTTTTTTAAAGTTTAAATCAATCAACCAAATCGCAAGTCTTACAGTTTTATGCAATTCATGGCTGTGCACCTATTTTCCAATTTAGAGCTCCACATATTATAATAATAAATAGTACTAAATAAATTAGGTACTCTAGTATAATATTTTTATGTATACCTAATAATATATTATATGAATGCCACTTCCGTTTCCACTACGGCGGCGATGAAGAAGACGGTCGTTCGGAGAATCGTATACTTTATATAATATTCAATATATTATATATATATATATAGATGCGAGTCGTAATCGTTTTGCCTACGGTCGCGTTCGCGGTCCGATCTTAATTAACATTTGACTCGACAAAAAAAAAAAAACAAAAAACAAAAAATCTACTCTGTGGCGTAATTATTTTACCACAGTCCATTTGGAAATGTATCAATCAATAATATTATATACATAATATAATATTGTATAGTAAAAACCGACTAGTCGTCTCTTTTACTCCACTCTTTTATCTCTTTTATCTCTATCTCACCGATGTGCTCTCAATCCGTCATCTACCCACGCCCGGACCACACTTCACTATATATATTATAAGTTAAAATAATATATTAATATTATAGTTCGTACCAATTATTATTTTTCGTACTGGTTCACGTGATGTGCAGTGTATAGATTTATAATAAGTAAGTATGTGTGCGCATATATACATGACTATAGTACCTATATAGATGTATAATGTATATAATAGGTATATAGATGTACATATTATATACATGTGCATAATATATACCGTCATCACGCCCGAGATAAATGCTCTTCCATTAGCGCGTTTAACAAGTGTTTCGAATTGAAGCTGCGCCGCCGAGGTTGAGATTAATAATAACGCGCGTTCATCATCGCCGCCGTCACAGCTACAGCGGAGAGTGTTTTTGAAAATTGAATATTCTAAATAATATAATAATATACGTCACATAATAATATAGGTAGGTACGCAATTTACGGTTATATACTTATATGTATCATAGGTGATACTTATTAGTTATTACATATAAAGCTTTTGATTTATTGCAAATATTATCATCAGTACTAAAGTACATCGCGATCTATATATAACAATATTATATAATATATTGGACATTTAGGACGCATTGCGTACACATTGTTATATTTATTACTCACGCATCCGCTTCACTGAGTTGCTGCTGAAGGAAATATAACTGCTAGAGGCGATTTACAAAAAAATGCCAAGGACGATTATCATTTGTATTATTATTATGATTATTATTATTATTATTATTAGGTATTACTACAATAATATTGCTGTATGTTTTTATATTAAAATATTGATTGCTTAGCGCTGCTATTCACTATAAAAAGTGGGTAAGTGGATGTCGCTCTGCTGTACAGTAGGTTACAAGTGGGTCAATGTTTAATGGAGTGTATTAAACTTGAATTCGATGACATAATATCATTGTATAAGAAAAACGATTCTGAGTGGAGACGGTTTGTCAGTCTGGATATTTTATTTTGTTATTATTTATTATAGCCTGTAAGTTAAATTGATATTATAATTTTTAATTCGTTTCTATGGTGATGATAAACAAAGCGTTAGAAATTAAAATCCAATTTTCAAGGGTTTTTCGTAATTTGTGGGTAGTTTTTCCCGTTTCATTAAATAACTATTGAGAAAACGGAGAATTACCTCTTCTAAAGTACCATCTTAATCCAATTTGAAATAAGATAAGATACTTAATGTTAAAATCGAAGTACTTGTTCTGGTAGAAATTTTGTATACAGGATAAAAAAAAAAAAAAAATAAACACCATTGCAAAACCAGTAGATAAATATATTAATATTGTAAATAATAATTAAAATAACATTACTTAAATACTTTGATGAGTATTTATCTCCATGGCTACATACCTATTTTAATAAGAGGTACGCATTTACGTATAATTTATTCCTAGTAAGACTGCAGCAATAGGTACTAAAAAATTGCTCATTTTAATAATAATTAATTATTATAATCGAGCTGTCATCAAACGTTACTGAAAAGATAGTAAATAATCGTTGTAATATCTGTTCAATTATATACGACGGAAAAATGCTGGCTTCATATAAATAATGTATAAATCCGTTATAATATAGATGTACCTATATACACAAATATCATTATCACCACGTAAAGATTATACGATTACTTTTCAAATGTTTAATACATTTTTTGCTAGTTTATAGAATCTATGTAATATAGATTGGTCGGAAACTCTTAAACAACTCTACAATATATACCTATAACGTAGTGACGTATGATGCATTATATTTCATATACTATCTCTATAGTGAAAAACAGTGTTTTTCCATTAAATTGATTAAAAATTTACGATTTAAATTAAGACCGATGTTGACTTATACCTAAATACCTAATACATTTAAAATACAAAATTTATTATATATTTAAAAAAAAATCGATTATACATAAATAAAATTCACTTCACGCCGTGGCCGTATTATTATATTTTATTGATCTTGAGCATCGGAAATTATGGTCATTAGCTTTTGTAAAAGGTTACGGTTGGTTGACGAACACGTGTATGTGAGGCGAGGAATCTGGGTAGTCAGTGGTCACCCATCCTGAAACTAGTGACGCCAGACGTAGCTTGACCTCAGAACACGTTACAAACTTACAATCACTATGATATATAATCGATTGCCAGTATAATACGACTACTGCGGCGCGCTACCAAAATATAATTTCATAATATTATACAACGACAATAATATAATGACTTAACGCTTTTTTTATGACACTGAATACAATCTGATTAGATTAGTATAAAATACATTACCATAAGTACATTCCTTAATCAGCTAGTTGGGTTTTTTTATCTTCACTCATCGGCTATAAAATTATATTATATAATTATAATACGCGAACTCGCTGCCGCATAGATTAAGATATTGTGGTTCCTCCAAAAATACCTGAAACCTTTTTAATCGATCGATCATCGTACAAAAATAAACCTACGAGATTGCAGCGTGAGAGTTCTCCTCAACTGGTATTTGTATATATTTGCCATTAGTATTATAGGTATAATATGTAATGTATATTATTGTATACAAAGTATTCGGTATGTTTCTATATGCCTGTAAAGTTTTTTTTTCGTAATAATCATTTTTCACTCGTGTCACTATGGCTTTACAATATTATATATTATATATATTATATAATAAACAATAGCAAACGTGTAATTTAAACGAAAATTCTAAAACTATATATTTTACGTTGTAAATAGGTACTCATCCATAAGAATATTGCGATAAGTTTTCAATGTGGCCGTTTAATCGTATATGGAACGAGGAAAACCCAGAAACCAACACGATAGTCCGCGTGCCGATAGCCAAGGTAGTGGTTCACATATACAAAAAGGACCGAAAATATGTGGAATTGGACCTTCGAGGGACAAATTTACGTCAGAGTAAAAGTTGGGTGGACAATTGCATGTCGAAGCTTCGTCCAAGGACTCCGCCTGGGATGTACGTAGAAGTGAAAAAACGTCTGATAAAAAAGTTGCACATCACAATTTACAAGAAAAAAAGGATAAATGTAAGTATACTTACATTCGACATGTGCACGCCACGTCATATTATAATACAATTATTTATTTCATATTTCCTCAAATGAGGTTATGTGTTGATGATATGTTGATTTATTAAACTTATATTTGTTGCGTGGTTTCAATGAATTCAATTTATCCATGGTTTATAACTCGCACATCTTTACAGATTTGACGATTTTGACGAAACATGATGATAATATCCACCCGCCACCGTAACCTCGCATCTATTGTAAAATCATAACATGAATTTCAAAAGTATAAAATATGTAAAATGAATAAACTTAATAACAATCTCAACCTCTTTAGTAGTACACTCGCGCCCTTACTACTAATTACCTATACGGTTAATCGTATTCGATATCGTATTAAGTATGATATAATTATTTAGTAGCTACTATACTTACCGACAGTTAGATGACGAACATAATTATTATTATTTTATGTTGTTACATTGATTACCTTCAAAACACCGACTAGGTATTTAATTAACCGGATTAATCACACTTTCTATATTACCAGTCTGAAATCCAATAAAAATATGCATATTATAATAATATTTTATTACTAAATGGTGCCTAGTTTTCGAATCTACACCAGCTTATCTTATGATGTTGTACAGACATGAATATAATAAAATTGGGTGTTTGTGGAAAACTGTATGAACCTATTTCTTATATTAAAAGGAGTTTCCTACAACGGTTATAGTTATAGGTCTATAAACTATATTATATTATATAGATATTTATGTATAGAATATACATATTATAAAGGCCATATTATGAGTTTGGTATAATTATTATTCATAATAAAAATAAGTGTTAGGCCATTGTGTATTTACAACTTGTGTATGCCTCTATGTACAACTACTTGCCGTTCTGAATCTGAATGAGAAAAAAATGGTTTAACGGTGGGTTAGTTAAAAAAATCTAAATTTGAAGTCAATGACATAAAATCTTTGTAATGAAAAAACTATTCCGACCGAAGACTGTCTTCTAGCCTAAATTACTACTTGCGTGGATTTTAGAATATTATTGATATTAAAATAATTTGTTATTATACTATTATTAATACAGTATAGTTTGAATTCATTTTTGTCGGAAAAATTGCAATTGAAAAATCATTGTGTGTATAAAATAATAATTATACTTGAAACGTTTCAAGTACCTATCTACATACGAAAAACATTTTTAAATTACACAAAATAACTAAGATAATAATTAATCTTCGTTTAAATATCTAACTTTGTACAAAGATAAAAATCATAAAAAAATATTGTGGATTTACACTCATCTGTTTTTTGATTACACTATTTATTCCTTATGAGGAACTGTGTATTAATTTTTCAAATGTTTGATCAAGCAAAAAATTATTTATCAATATTATCAACATTAAATGAAAAAAAAAATTAGAAAGTTTCTCATGGCTATATATAAAGTATAAACAGTTCAAAAAGGTAGTCAAAATATTTTGATTATGTTACCATGTATGAAAAATAAACATACAAATATTAGGTGAAAATATAATGTATCTTCGGCTATTAATATTTTAGTCATACTAAAATAACAAAATTGATTTTGTCGATAAAATAAACATGATTTTCGTAAATATTTCTTTTTTTCCTTATTTTTTTTTTTTTTGTATTTCCAGCCGCATTTGAAAATTAAGTAGGAATTTCTTATTTTTGATCCCTCAAAGTTCCAATTAGATTGACTCTCCAGCTACTTGAAAAAATGCTGAAACAGAAAATTACAGCATTCTGAAAAGTGATAACAGACAAAAAAAACACACATCATCGTAAACTTCAATACATTCTCAGAGGTTAAAATATAAGTTTTAGTTTCATACTAATAATAAGTAATAACTCACAGTATAGTCTGTCGGACGTTGGACAATCAAGTTATCAATATTGTGCCGCACACGTCGGCCGTGACTGAAATAGCTCACTTCCCGCCCTTGCCACACAATATATTATTGCAGATCTTTGAAATCAAAAAGTGAAGTGGCTAGTGTATTGAATCCAAAATTATTAAAATGGTTATAAAATTATAATATAATATTGTCTATACATATATAATAAATATTATATAACAATAGAAACAATCTGTGACATTTTAAAATTGATTTACAACAATAATTATTGCTTTCTGAATAATAATGACAAGAAGATAATTAAAATGTATTTCGTAAAAACGGGTGTGCCGCGTAAATTTCGCCATTTTACTTCACGGTTTTACGCGCTCCACAATCGCTTGCAACTTGCCAGTTGCCAATCACCCATTAAGTACCCGGTGCTCTTAAATCATTCGAAATTTTTGCCCAATGATAATATTTATTAGGTATCCGAGTAATAATTCATTTACATATTTTTTGGTCGCTGTTGGCGACCGCGGGGGCCACATAAACTACATTATAAACAAAATGCGGGGGGCGGCCGATGCCACGCACCACTTTCTTCTCAGCTTCACTCGTTCTATAGGTACACGTGTGATATAGTTGCACCACTGCTAAATTTTCGGCTGTCCGTGAAGTGATCACATGATAATATTTTTTATGTTTCGTGTTTTAAATTTGATTTAAAAACGTGCCTTTAAAATTGGATTTTTAATAAAATCGCGTTAGGTTAAATCAAATAGATATAATAATATAATTACACGAGAGAAATATAATATATACGCATCTAATAAATGATTTTACGATAACATTATAGTTATTCCTACTTATAAATAATTATAATAAGTTTATTTGAACATAATAATATAACGTAACGATTATAATTTGCATATAGATACGCTTCCACGAGCTGCCGTAGTTTATAACACTCCTACGCGTATAGCGTCGCATTGAAAACAAAATCGTTTAAATAATCATTTGAAAACGATAGTATAATTAGTTAAACTGTTTTAATATAATATTCGTTTTCGAAACACGCTTGTTATAGATCCCGGTTGAAATACACAAAGAAAACGAAATCATCAGTAAAAAAAACCGTTTCGACCGCAGAAAAACGACGTGCTGAATGATTCGATATATATCCGCACGTAAAATTATATTCTTGAAAAAAAAAATGTATATTACGATAAAGTCAATAACACTCAGCGATTTATTTGTAAAGAAAAAAAAGTAACGTATTTTATTTCTGTTTTACTTTGACTTAAAACATTTTAATATTTTTAACAATTATTGGGTATATATATAGTGGTATTAATAATGTATAATATTATACCTACACGATGGTAATAAATAATAATTTATTATGATGATTCTTTTGATTTATATTTTCACGTCGAGCACCTATATACGAAATCGCGAGTAAATAAATAATAGTAGCCAGAACACGTCGGATGAAATAATATATATGATAGTGTACTTATACGCAAAACGCACTTAGAAAAAAAAAATTAAGAAGCGCAAAACAGGAAAAGCACCTATATAAATTCAATTACAAATTTATGTGATATTATTACGTTTCTCTTGTTTATTTTAAGTATTATTGGCAAATCACCAATACCACGCGAGACAGGAATTTTTCGAATTTTGATGTATACGTGCAAATGTGCGAACGTTTAAATTGTATAATATGAAAAATATTCACATTCATCACACGAGTCGAATATTAGTAGGTTGAAGGTACACGACCTCGAATCGATGACGATTTTATAAAATCGGATGTAATTAATTGTCAGCACACAACGTTCAGTCAAATCAATAATATATTATAATATTACATTATAAAATATTTTTTTCGATCGATAATATTCAAATTACACTGTCTTTTTTGAATTCTCCCCCCCCCCTGTATTTGTTTCTTTCGTTTACATCCATTAGTTAAATGGTTTTTTTTTTACTGAAATACCAGTTTGCTACTTCATTATTTAGATGTATTTGTATGATATATTATAATATATAAAATAATTTTATAGATATACTCTCTCGCTGTGTACAATAATCATGATAACTCTGTACAGAAACATTAATACATTTAGGTAGGTACATAAAATCAAATTGATTTAAGTTCGTACTTATTAAAACTTACAAATCGTTATTACTCCAATCGTAAATTTTGCTTTTACATAGTTTTATTAAAATTTCCCACGTTTAATGCTTGCGAAGTTTTTTTTTTTTACATTTAATCTTGAGAATTTGATTAAATTAAAATGTAGGTATATTATAATATTAATTGATCGTTAAGTAGTAAAATATAATGAATGAGAAAATGAAACGAACATTTAAATAATTATAAAATATATACATTTTATTGTTATAAAATATAAATATATAATTATATCAGATAATAATACAGCCACTATAAATGTCTGATCTTCTTTATTAAACTGCGCAGTGTCTATTATGCGAATCTATATTTTCACGTTAAGATTCGTTATATAATGTACAATTATAGACGCTTAAATATCGTAGAATTATATGGTGGTCACCACGTAAATAAAAAATATAAATACCAAATTATTCCTACGTTAAATTTCGAAGTAATCTGATATGGCGATGGTACCCTATAGGTCAGGCATAGCTACGCCTGTATGTGATATCTATTATATTTAGACGATCAAAATTCAATTAAGGGGCAAAAATATACCTATCGTCTTCGATCCTTCTCCCCAGAGCTTGAATCTGTGTTTAACCATAGCTGCAGGTAATATTCATATTAATGTACCTATATAATATCCGATTTCTATCAATAATTATTTTAGTATCTAATATCTGGACAAGACACTATCGTACAGCGATCGAGTTTGCCAAGGAACTCATCATTAAGGTTATATACGCACGTAACGCGAATATCAATTTCGTGAAATAGAAAAACCATTCAATTCCATATAATATTATATTCGATATGCGAGGCGATTTTATTATAATATAAGTGTCACAGTCATGTTCGGTAAAATTATATTCTGACAATCTAATCATGATAATAATCCTCTCGTTTTCTATATCAACTTGGAATAGTCGAATTCATCACGTATTTTCAAACACGTCCACATAATATTACAATATACATATTATTATATTACACGAAAAACAACTAACGAATTGTCAATTATAACCGCAACGGAATATTTTATTTTCACTTATTTTCACTCAACTATTGCTGCAGTTGTCGGGTCTAAATTTACACGCTTCTGCGATTCTCGTATATTAAATAAGTATATACTTCTGCACCGTATATAGATTACATATTAGAATACACTTAATACTCATACCATTTTTAAAATAAAAAATGGACTAAATAGTTGATTTTTACCTATCCACACCACCAACAAACCAGTTCGATAATCTATGAATAACTATATTATATTTAAATCATATTATGTACAGTCATTATAGACAAGTCTATAATAACTAGTTTTTATCTATGGTCGAATATTTCAAACATTCCTACCCGTTTCACTTGGACGGTCAGTGATGGTGGAACTGGGAAGTGGGAAGTGAGGTCTAAGATGGGATGCTCATTTTTAAATCTCTTTCTTCACGATTTCGTATACATTTCACACGTTGATTTGGTATATAATGAAGAGATAAATAGCTTAAAACCCATGTGATAGCAAGCTATATTATGCGAATATTGTATTTTTAATTACGTTGTTCCAAGATACTTTACTTAGTTCTAATATGATAGGTGTATCATGGTATACCAAAATCGAAAAGATGATCGAAAATCTCAACCTCCTCCGTTGCAGTATTTATTTGATTAATATAGGAATGCAAATATTTTAAGTATTACAATTATGGTGTGAATATTTTTTTTATTGATCTTAAGCGTCGAGGGGCTAGTATAATTTTGTAGAGGGGGGTTTACGGTTGGTCGAGGAAAAAGTGTATGTGGAGGATACGAGGGGTCGTCACTAAAAACCCAGGTGGTCACCCATCCGATAACTAGCGTCGTCGAATGAAGCTTGACCTCAGAACACGTTAGTGACTGAGGCCAACCACCGAGTTATACCGAGGCCCCAATATGAATATTTTATAATATTATAATACAATGATTTCCAATATTACATTTTTAATAACTGCAGTTTTGCGAGTCGCTATTAATTTATAACAGGTCATAAGATATGTGACATAACCTTCAGCCATAATGAAGAGACCCATTACCTTCAAAGTTCCGGTGTTTCTGCATCAGGTATACAGCAATGGAAACCGAAGCGGTGAAATAATAATCACGTGGTGGGCGTAAAAATAATTTGTTAAAACGTCTCCTAACACTACCCAAGAGTAATATAATGTACGGTTATATATTATACCTACTGAATCTACACGACCATATACCTGGTATAAAATGGCATATACTAATATTATAACCTTTGTCGAGTTTTTTACACTGGATTTATGGTTTGGAGCGATAACACTGTATATAGCAGAGGCGACAACCATGATGGCGGGTGTGCCAGTCACTGATATATCCGTACCTATATAATATACAATACAAATATAAAATATTATAATATCTCATGAAACACACACCTCATATCTCATGTACTCGTACAATATTGTCATTATTATGTGCACACACGACTGCAACTAAATTATACTGCAGGTGAACTCTATATGGCAGTTCTGGCGGTTGGCCCAAAAATCAAAATTGCAAAGCGAATTATAATTGGGCGCGTACCACAAATATAATATAATTTATACGAACGACGTACCTATACCTAGGTATATAATACCTATATCGTCATACAAATGCAGTGTACGACGTCATTATGCTGCAGTTTTGCGCGACGACCGCAACGGTGCGTTATAAATTATAATAATATAATAGTGATCTGCATCAGATGCAGCACTAGACGATCGAGTTGTAGCATACTATATATATCAATAATATACACTAGCATATATTATTATACTGATTAATTATATAAGCCACGTGCGCTAAAGTTCATAATAATATGGGTGCAAAAATCGGTCGGGACAGTAATCGATTAAGGCACGAGCGTATATAATCTATATATATATAATATATTTGATGTATGGATTTGGGTGCGTATATTTTATTATATACATCACACCGACGGTGGGGAGATGACTGCGGCAGGTGTTATAATTGGATTAAGTGACTATATATAGTGTGTATAATATATTATATGAGACATTAAAATACGAGTGCGTTTAATCTATTTAGGTACTACCTACCTTTAAAATCACTGCACTCCGGGTCGTCGTCGCATCGAAACGATTATAATGATATGGGCGGCCGATCCTATTTAGAAAATCGTGGATATACCTACATATAATAAATATATATATTATGTACATGTACTATGGGTCCATATGCATATAGGTGGTAGTTCTACACTATCGTTGTATATACATAATATTATTATATTCGTAAATTGCGGCGGCGACGGCGGTCGGTCGTGCGAAATAAAAACAAATTTCACGTGATGTCGGCGGCGTTATATATTATTATATATGTGTGTAGAAGGTGCCCGTAACCAGTCGGTCTGGTCGGACCAGTCGTCACAACTCATCGGCGAAAAAAATATACGGCGGCGGCATCATCGGCGGTCGTAGATATAAGTAGGTAAAGGTACCTATATTATTGTATAATATATACCAACTTGTATTATTAATCGCTCATATACGGTAGACATGTATAATTATTATACTTACCCATATAATATGATATTGGAGAAATACGTGCTTACTTAGCCGAACGCATAGATCCCACTAGATATTATATTATTATAACGACGCAGTTTTAGTGTGAAGACGACCAAACGTTTCGCGACCGCTACGAAATAATATAATATGTAATACACTAAGGGCCGTTCTTACAATGTCCGGTAAAGTGTCGGTAAATTGTACAAATTATTATCAGGAGTGGCCAAACCGTGGCTAGTATATTATCATAGACGAAAAACAACTTATATGTAACAGTAACAATATACTAAGTATTACATATTATAAAGACAAGATTATCCCATACAAAATAAATCTGACCGTTTTTGTACGTTATCGTATTATTGTTTCAAATTCTACACATTATATTACATATTTCAA